AGGTACACAGGCCTAAAAAAAAAAAAAAAAAAAAAAAAAAAAACTAAGGTATTACACCAGCGCTAAAGGAAGGGCCTTAAACTAGGTCTGCATGACAGGGAGTGATAAAATGCCAATCTATGTTTACTGTTTCATCTCCAAATTGTTCAAATATTTTACAAATTTCGCCAGGCTACAGTTCTCATGTAAAGCATCATCATATCAGCTGGCTGGTGTGTTTTAGCTGACCAGACTTTAATATGAAACTCAGATTCAGAATCAGCTTTACTGGCCAGGTGCATTGGACACAAGGGATTTGACTCTGGTACAGCAGCTCTCAATGTGTTTGTACATATCCTTATGTAAGGCAATAGTAATATATATATTATATATAAATAATATATATAAGAGTAGGCCAAGTAAGAAATATACCAATATGAGGCTGTATAATATAACGATATAAACAGAGCAATAAACAATGCAACAATGCAAGCAACAAAGGAATGTGCATTAGGAAAGGAAGGGTAAAATAAAGTACTTAAAAAATAGAGACCTACAAACAGTATATTACACACACGCACAATTATATATATATATATATATATACACACACACACACACAGTGGGTACAGAAAGTATTCAGACCCCCTTAAATTTTTCACTCTTTGTTATATTGCAGCCATATGCTAAAATCATTTAAGTTCATTTTTTTCCTCATTAATGTACACACAGCACCCCATATTGACAGAAAAACACAGAATGTTTGACATTTTTGCAGATTTATTAAAAAAGAAAAACTGAAATATCACATGGTCATAACTCCCACAAGAGGAGGCCCCCCCCTCCACACTTGCCTGTTGGGATGGTTAAGGTTCCTAAGAGCACAGTGGCCCCTATTATCCTTAAATGGAAGACGTTTGGGACGACCAGAACCCTTCCTAGAGCTGGCCGTCCAGCCAAACCGAGCTATCGGGGGAGAAGAGCCTTGGTGAGAGAGGTACAGAAGAACCCAGAGATGACTGTGGCTGAGCTCCAGAGATGCAGTCGGGAGATGGGAGAAAGTTGTAGAAAGTCAACCATCACTGCAGCCCTCCACCAGTCGGGGCTTTA